CGTATTTTTTTGCGTTCGACAAGTTTACTTTACAAAATCTTGCCGACAAATCTGGGTGCGTGTAAACCAACCTTTTATACCATTTATACATCACATCTGAGGTGAAACAGTACTATGAGGTACTGTTTTTATAATACAGACCTCGGACAGAATGCAGTATTTCACAATTTTGCAACACAAATTGCACTCATTCAATATTCGGGACGATCGAAGCGTGGGCTTTTAGCTAAACCGTTAAAAAAATTTCCAAAATCACATATATACGGCCAGCCGGTTCTCACTTTTGCAGTGCGAGCTGTAGCGAGTGTTTGAACGAACATACTAGAGTTAAGCTCGAACATAATAAAGAAATTATTATGTTTATTTTCTATTTAATGGTTTTATCGATGTGTAATCTTTAAAAGCGTTTGATACGCGCGGCATTTTGAGTACTCCTGCAAGCGATGTTCACTGAACGACTGAAGACAAACGGCACAGCGCGCGATTAAAATTACAAGAGACACTACCAACAATCAATAAAAGAAATATACTTCGGTGAAACATATACAGAGACAACACTTTTCATTCACGAAGACAAGTATTAAAGTGTCTTTAATAATCCTGAGTCTTCGAGCTTGAAGCGTAAGTTTATGTTTTAAACCGGCTTCCCGGTAGTTACTTTTTTCAAAGATGAACTCGAGGCAAGAAAATCGCTCAAAGCTTTCTTTTACAGCCAGAATTATAACTAAATGTTCTTTGGAACGTTTTCTTTCTATTTGCGGTGAGAAAATGTCTAAAGGCTTTTTAAAGTTCACTAAGCTTATATCAAACCTGATTCTTGGTCAGATCAAATTGTCTCAAATCTTACAAACGTGCATAAACTACATAGCCACGTAAACTACGCTCTACTTCATTAAATTAGATATAAAAAACAAACATCAAACACAATAATTACTGAGGCTTACCATGCGAGATGCAGCTCCTGAAAGCTAGGTATCAAGTAAGGCCAGTATCGCTTCAGACTTTTCGACCCTTACTCATCATTCAAGGTGAAAAACGAAAACGATGCCATCCGAAATCGGATTTCCGACTTTGACAAGTGATCTATTAATTTCTCAACCAAAAACCAACTAGCCATGAATAACAGAAGACTCTTGATAGCAGCTGAATTTCATTTTGTGCATCCAGTGGAAAAAGACAGTTGAAAACATCACAAGTTGACACAAAACTCTCTCAGCTTCAGCTGTCAAAGTAAACAAGATTCAAGATGCTGCATAAAGTTTCCGCATGAGCTCACCTGTCAAATTTTGACTAATCAGAGCGTAAAAATTGGACTTAGAGCGTGACCAACGCGTGACCATTGTGAGCAAAGTCAAAAGCAGCTGTCTTCCCTGCCTGTAATAGCTGGCTGAATTTTCGCGTCCGAGGTCAGTTTTAAATCAAAATTTTAATTGTGCGGCACAAAAACAAAACATATTTCATATTGAATAAAAAAAAACAAAACTTGAGCTTGCGATCATTTGAAAACTAGTAACTTGTCAGCGGATAACTTCAAAAAAAATACTTGACCTCGATGGGTCAACACCTGAGCCCGCAATACGGTCAAGTGATACTGGTTAGCGGATACCCTGTTTTGACAGCTGTCAATTGATCACAACATTGATGTCCAATGGATGTGTATTATCAGTTTTCCTGTGCTCTCAAACTAGCTAGAAAGTATGAGATTGAACATTGATCGCGATCTAGTAAAACAACTGGTCAGCGGACAGCTTCCAAATAAATCACGTCACCTTGATGAGTTGACACATGAGCCTTCGATATGGCAATGTGATACTGGTCAGTGGCTATCCTGTTTTGACAGCTGTCAATTGACCATATTGTGAATAGCCAATATAAAAGATGTGGATTTGCCAAGACACGCCTGAGACACCACGCCCTTCCTTTTGATAGTCTCCCCTATCCTACCCGTACAATCTGAAGACGCGTACCTACGTACGTACGTACGCTCGGTCAGACACGTGACAACCAAAAGAAAAAAGGTTGACCATATTCTATGAGTATGGGGCTCTGTCCCACGCGCGCTTCGCGCGCGAGGGAGCCCCGCTATTATACTTCGGATTTATTATGCCACACATACTTCCTCTTTCAGACCTCAAGTAATGGAAAAAGTCGGTAAAATCTTAACCATCTCAAGACCGTCATCCACGCGCACTCTTAGCATTCCACATTCTAACACCGAGTTAAACCACATTTAACTGTATTTCTCTCGTACTTTGTGGGACCCACGATCACCCTATGTCACCCGACACATATACAGCAGTGGTAATTGTTCATATTTGGTCGCAATTTGTCTTTGGTCAAACATTTACAAAAATTACAACCAAAGTTTCGAAAGAGTTTTGCTGTTCGAGAAACCTCCAAAAAGTGTAATGTAGCCGGTTTACGCTGCGAGAATAATTATTATAAATTTGCCAAAATTCTGGCATTTTCAAATTGTTCGGGAAAAAAAACCGGCTTAAGGAAATTTATTTATTTCAGTGCTGAATAGCTCTCATTTGTTTTCTTATCCAGGTTGTTCCAGTGATCACTTTGAAAAATACCAAGATTTACCAACCAGAGGAGGTCACGCCGTGGAACATTTCACCATTAATGGAAGTCTTTTTCTAGCGTTCGCCAACTTTGAAAGTGACACCGCCGAAAAACATAACACAGATTCTTTTATCTACAAGTTCAACGATTTGACTGGAAAATTCTTTCTTTATCAGACCATAGGCACACATGGAGGGCATGACGTGGAATATTTTACAATTTCTGGCGAACATTATCTTGCTGTTGCTAATGTTCAAAATGAAACTACGCACAGATTGAACTCAGTTATTTATCTTTGGAATGGAACATTGTTTGTTGCCTTTCAAAACCTTGCAACGAAAGGAGGAGCCAGCTTAAATTTTTTTACAATGGCGAAAGAACCTTTTCTTACCGTATGCAATCTCTGTGATGATGTTACGCCGAGTATCAACTCAACCATCTACAAGTGGAAAAACAACATGTTTGAAAAGTTTCAGGAGATAGCGACAGAGGGATGTCGTGGAACTGATGCGTTTGTAATCAACAATGAAAGCTACATTGCCTTTGCAAACGCCGCCTCGTCAACAGTAGTTTATAAGAGGGCTGGGATGTACTTCGTCGAGCTGCAAAACCTTCAAAAGCAATATGCATGGAATGTAAAGTCCTTTTACATTAATGATGATGTGTTTCTCGCCACTGCCTCTCAACCCGCACCGTCGTTCATTCACAAGTGGGATGGAAGTCAGTTTGTCCTATTTCAGACTATTCCTACTTACCGGGCCAGGGTCTTGCATCCCTTTGTTATGTGCGGTCAAACATTTCTTGGTGCGGCTAATCGGCTTAAGGGTGGCACCTACCACACAAAGTCAGTGGTGTATCGGTTCTCTCTGAGCCAGTTCACTGAATACCAGAAGATTTCAACTTTTGGAGCTATTGATGTGACGTCATTTGAGTACAAGGGTTATACTTACTTGGCAATTGCTAATTCAGGAAATGAGAACCAAAAGAACATTAACAGCACTCTGTACAGGTGGACCTAAAAAGATTGCGTATTCCTTAATTAGAGAGGCCTGGGACTAAGGTCTGGGACCTGTGGAAAATGAATTATTGACTATAACTTTGGCATAGATGATAGCGCTGACTTAAAATTTGGCACACATGAAGAACTCATTGTCCTTAACATTTTAAAGTATAAATATTGTGTTGATAAGTCACCTGATATGTCACGTGATCATTTTGTTAAAAATCGTAAATTATTGACCAATTGGTGGCCGTTTTAAGAAAAGGAATCGAGCAATAAAATTTTTCTAATTGATATTAAATATTTCTAACACTTCACGTATGGAATGACCGTCCACTGCACTTCAATAAAAAAATTATGAAGGAAAACGTCATTTTAAATGCCCAAATTTAATTTTGAATTATTTAAAACTTTAATTTTAAACTTCCTGTACATTCAATCTAAACGTATAACATTAGGTATGTTTATCCTCTCTCAGAAATACCAATTTGTTTACTTAAACAAAGTAAATTCGCCACCAATTCGCCAATTTCCTTCATTTTCAACTTTTGGTCACGAGACATGTCACGTGATCATAATTAAACGTCACAGCACAAGAAAACCCCAAGGTTTACTTTGGGGAAAAATTCATTTTGTTCTAGGTCTCCTGGCGAGAGATATTGCCAATCATTCATATGCTCCGAACACACCTTTGACCCAGGCCTTAAACCCCTACTGAGAGGTGAGAGGGGGCCAATAGTCGGCTGTCTGTCAAAACTTAGTTTTCGATCTTTGTCGGTCTTCAGTAAATTTCTGTTAATGAGTAGAAATGCATCTTAGTCGTTATGTAACTCACTCAGGTAATTTAAACTCTATGCAAAGTGTAAATAATAATAATAATAATAATAATCAACTTTATTTTTCTTGGGTGACACTTGACAGTATAAAATACTGATAAACTCGTGGCGCTCAAAACAAATTAAAAATAAACAAAAATACATATAAATAATGAAGTAATAAAACTAGGAGATTTAACAATTAAAATACGAGTTATCTAAGAATTAATATAAAATATATGAGAATAAAGTAGAATAGCCTAAACTAGAGCTACACTTAATTTCATTGGGAAGTGAATTCCAAAACCTAGTGGCTGATACTTGAAAAGTCCTAGCATCTTCTGATTCTCTTTAATACTTTGGACAAATTAAATTCAAAGATCCATATCTACTTTGTCTTTCAGTAGAACGTATGTCGATGTTTCGTTTGAGTAATTCTAGCGTATAATTGGGACCAACCCCGTTCAAACGTTTACAAACTGATGCGCACTGATTAATCTTAGCTTCAAGAAGAAAAGTTAGCCAATTGAGTTCTCTAAACAGATCTACGCTATTTGCTCTAGTATCATCATTGAGAATAACGCGTGCGGCCCGCTTCTGTAGCCTGAAGACCTTATTTAAATTATCAACGGATGTAGAACCCACACACTAGAGCCATACATCATGGTTTGTTTTATCATGGCATTGTAATAAAGAATTCGTTGATTTAAAGGTAAATGACGCCTGATATTTTTTCAAAACAGCAATACGCTGTGTTAGCTTCTTACATAGATTATCAATATGCTCATTAAAATTAAGCTGAGTGTCAATAATTACACCTAACAGTTTATGAGACTGTACTTGTTCGAGTTCGACCGAGTTTACATGGACAGTGAGCTGCTCATCTTCTTATGTAGACGTTTGCCAGCTACTAATATAGTTTTAGTTTTGAACTCGTTAAGTACCATTTTATTGTCTGTGGTCCATTGTGCAACTTTACCAACATCAGCTTAAAGAACTTGAATTAAGGTTCCAGGTGCTGATCTATAATCGACATTAGCACTGATAATGGTATCATCCGCATATATGTCTGCTGCTGAATGTTTTAGTATCTTTGGTAGATCGTTTATTGCGGAGCTCTCGCGCGCGAGGCGCGCGCCAGCGGAGCACCATGGGTAAGTAAATCTACCCATCCCAGAAAATTTGGTAATCACGTGACCGTACACCGAACTACTGTCCGTCCGCACCACAGGCATACCAATGAAAAATTTGGGGTAGTCTGTGAGTGCAGTGAGAGTTTTGGATCCTGGGAACGAGGTTTTTTGGCGCGAAAACGAATGGTCCCCTCGTTTTGTGAAGCATAAAGCCTGTTTCATATGATCGTCCCGATCGTCTGAACATGTTTGGGGACGACTGGGACGATCCGGACGATCATATGGAAACCAGGCTTAAACAACTTAGAAGTTCAGCGAAGTCAACTCAGAACAAAAAGAATTTTTTTTTTGTATCAGTTGACAGAAATTGTTTTTACATTTGTATTTTCTAGAATTTTCATTCATTATGTCCTCTAGTTTGGAGTATAAAGAAAGAGAGAGGCAGAGAAAACTGGAAAGTAGGCGGCAAGCAAGCTAAGCTCAACGAGAGAGAGAGCGGCAAACAGCCAGAGAAAGGAGGCGAAACTGCACCAACAAGAAACGGGTTACGTCTTTCGTTTTTTGTCTTCTCAACTGACCCTTTTCATTAACATTAGGAATATCAACGTTCTGTTCATGGGCTTGCCGCAATGTCTGTGCCAGCAATGCACATTTCGTGTTTTCGAGTGTTCGGAAAGAAAGGACTCGTCAAACCTCAGTGTTACTGTAAGCAGAGATATTGGAATTAATGACTGACTTGCTATGGTCACATGTTTATAAACCAGCTTTTTATTGTGTACTCAAATGGATACAAAATAACTGAAACAAACTTTAGATAGACCAGACAACATTACTTTCATAATTTATGAATTCTTTTACTATCTATTTTAAGCAATACGGATCTTCCTGTTTGAACACAGCCTGGTCGAAACCAACGCATGAGGTTACTGACAGTTCAAAAATCAGTGAAGTCTGAAGTCGGCACAGTATTGACCCAATTTTGATTAGTCAAGCGATCATCCCGTGGTAGTGATCCAGGAGAAAATCCCCCCTTAAAATTCATTTGATAAGTCGCTTGCGCGACTAAACAATGTCTCGTCTTCTCTGCTTCCTGCCTGATCGCAGGTTAGTGCAATTACAGTCGAACCATCCGTAAGGCTACCAGCCAAAATGCGAAGATTTAGTGGGTCGCTTACGAAAGTCAAACGGCAATTTTCTTTTTCGAGAAGAGGCGACCAAACTGGCGAAAAACTTTCTTTTTGGAAGAGAACGTATTGCATGTAAAGTTATGATATGTGTTTTTCCGTGTTGTCACTAATTCATGTAGTTCTGTTCTTCGTATGCTCCGAGCAGCGTAGTACATACAGCGAACTTAGAGATCTTACAGTGTGTCTAGTGATCGCTTAAAGAGATTAAAAGAACGGGAAATTACGTAACCGTCACCCTAAATAGTGGTCGTTTACAAGGGGTTCTAACGATAGGGCTTCCTGTGCAAAAAAAAATTTGGTGTTTCGGTTAGATGTGTCGCTTATGGGAGTTGGTAGACTGAGAGCAGTCTCTTTTTTTCTCTTTTGAGTCACAGTATATCGAGAGAACACTTGAGAGGGGATCCGGGGGGTCCTCCCTATAATGGCCTGTACGGGGAGGCTCCGCCCGAAGGGGGCACCTTTTTCAAGTTTCAGGTATATGAAAGGGTAGGGATTTCACCAGTTGAGGTAGATGGAGAGGTAAGGAAATGTGATATTCGGTGTATAAAGGACTAAAAGGGCAGTTAAAGCGGATGTAGCGCTCTAAACTAGTTATGTGAAAAGAGGGGACCATTTGTCAGTAGAAGGTACATGAAAATGGTGCCTCTTCTGTCGAAAAATGGCATATAAAAGGCCAAGGGGTTAAGACTCTCGATGGAGCCTCCCCGTATAAAACGTAACTAGGTAGCCTCCCGTCCCTCCCCCCTCCGGAGATGGGAGAGGCGAAGGTGCGAGGAACGACCCAAAATTAATTTGCATAATTTTACTTTTTCACTCGTCGCGCGCGGCTCTTGGGAGTTCGTGCCACTGGTTACCCTGGATACATATATTTTCAATTTTTTAAGAAAGGTAGACAGTTTGACATGCCAGCTAAATATACTGGAACCTTAATCACGTCCCTTAACTCAAAAGATAATCCATCCTGTGGGGTCAGTAGCAACTACTTATAGCAACAAGATTTACGATGAATTTTTTCATCAATCTGGATCATCACTTTTGTCCTGTCGATCGGTGGGGGAGGGAATGGAGAATCCCCTCGGGAATACGTGAGGAACACGGATATAATTACAAGCATGCTATTGGGCTAGTTTGACTGCTGCCGCAAACTATCTACGTAAACTTGCATATTTCTATGGTTTTGGGGTTAAGAATGACACTATTGAATTACCCGCTTTCCTTGTTTTTATTGTATCTAATACCATACCATTTAATACAGGTTGTTATTTTATTCCCCTTTCACTCATAAGACCATTCAGGAGCCAATAAGCTCCTGGCCATTGCAGTACCTCTTACTAGTTCTTAACTTTGATCATGGTGTTGAATGATGCTTACGCGTTAAGCGTCCGTAAAAATAAGACTACAATTAAACCTTGAGGAAGACTTCCGTTATGGTGACTTCCTATCGCACAAAGACTTTCCAAAAATCGCCAGGGGACACTCCCACAATATGATCGTCGCATTCCCACCTGCCAGATGGTTCAAGAAGCCAGTGGTAAGCTACCTCTATAAAAGCAGGGTGGTCGTATAATCTGTTCTGATCTCTCTCGGCGCCCCATTTGCCAACTTTGTAAGAACCTCTTTGGTATCCCCAATCCTTGCAGACTCTTGCCAACCGCGAGTTATCATCGCTCATGATCACGAACGAGCCACAAGAGGCAGGCATCACATCTGTCTCACCACTGAGGTATTTCACAGCAGCTTCACCTGTACTGTTAGCAGCCGTGCTGATGTGAAATGTACGACCTCCTCTTTTTTTGCAGTAGAATCTTATCCGAGTGAAATGCAAGTGATTTCTCAGCTCCTTCAAGGCGCTTTTTGTGAGTACCATCTCTTTGCTGCTTACTCCGCGGTACGATGTCTTAACTGGCAACTGAGTGGGAGATGAACCTTGCGAAACAACGTTGGATACAAGAAGCCATCCCCCTGAAATTCGATAAATGTTTATCATTGGTTTATCAGTCACGTGGACCAAAAGAAGCAGTAATGTTTAGTCCAAAATAATTCATACGGTGGAAACCCACGGTGTAGCTTCCCACGGGCAGGAACGAGTGACGAACCCCTAAACACGTGGGAGGCTACCCACTGCGAGCCTTTTATCAATGTGTTAGCGGAGCTCGCGCGCGATGCGCGCCCAGCGGAGCACCATGAATAAGAAAATTTGGTTATGACGTAGCGTACGAACGACCGTCCGTACATCCACTACATGTAAGCCGATGTCAAGTGTCACTTCATATCTTGCTCAAATATTGACAAGAGCCTGTCAGTTATGCAAGCCATCCGTATGAGGATGAATTGACAGCTGTCAAAATCAGACATCCGCTGACAATTATCGCATGACAATCTCGCGGGCTTAGATGAAAAACTGGTCGTTTTGCCCCTACATTATAAGCTGATATAATGTAACACACTTACCAAAATATTAATGGAACTACACTTTCCCAGGGCAGGGCTCTCAGCAGTATAAAGTGATATGCGCAAGCCAAATTAAGGTTAATTGACAGCTGTCAAAATGGGACATGTGCAGGCCACTATCAGAAAACTAATAACGTGGGCTCAGGTACTCGATGTGGCATTTCGCCACTACAAGCCGGACTGAAATGTCTTACTCATACTCACAGTCGACAGTCCGTTTTGTTCGAATACCGTAAAATTCCGAAAATAAGCCGCGAGCTTATATTTTTTAAAGGTTCTTTTTGACGGGGGCTTATACTCGGAGGGAAGTTTGCATTTCAAAATCGGCTAGGCTAACACTTGGAGAGAAATTTTCGTCTCAAAATCGATTAGGCTAGCTTATAGTTGAAACGAAATTTATGTCAGTAATTTTCAGAAAGGTTTTACTGAAACTCGCCTTGAGGACGTAGACCTTTCTAAAACGCAGCCATGCAAGTACTTTGTCTATATGAACCGCGAAAATACAAGCCAAGAATGAAGAGTGAACTACGCAAACAGCAATAAACTGTGACACTTTCCGGCTGGAATCATTTGGAGCATGTAATAGTTGTTTGGTAAATACAGAAATTATAATTATGTTACTGTACCGTTTTTGCTTTGTTTTATCATTTCGTATTTGAGGGCAGTTACCAAGTACAAGCCCACGGGGACTAATATTTGGAGGGGCAATTTAACGGAGAGTTTTTTTTGCTTTACGAGTTTGGGGGGCTTATGTTTGGAGGAGCTTATACATGGAGGGGCTCATTTTCTCATTTCAAAGCAACTTAACAAAAAGATTTTTCGACAGAGCCTTTATAACTTTTTATTATAACTTACGAAAGCTATTATGTCAACAAACAACAGCAGAGAGAGCGTGTAGACGACAGGTTTTAAGTAGAGAGCAAGAGAAGGTAAACGGCAGAGAGCAAGAGTCAACACGCGTAGAGCAAGCGACGGCGATCGCCAAAGAGAGCACGTTAAAAGTAGAAGAAGAAGACAAATTTTAGCGAAGGAAGTCGGAGTGTAGAATGAGTCAGGGCGTTTGTTTACTTTGTCAGGAAGGAGACAAAATTATAGTGAAGAGCGCCGGCAAGCAGAACGAGACAGAGCTAGAATGAATAGACAAAGGCAACGCAAAAGAGAAATACAAAGGTAAAGAGAACGGCAACAAAATAATAACATGATGACAGATGGTGTTGTGTTAATGCCACTATGGCCCCGCGCTATTAACCTTTTGATTTGAAACTGATCTCGGACGCGAAAATTCAGCCAGTCGTTTAAAAATACAAGAAGGGAAGACAGAGGCTTTTCACTTTTCTCATCATAGTCACACGCTGATCACGCTCTAAGGCCAATTTTTATGCTGTGATTGGTCAAAATTTGACAGGTGCGTTCATGCAGAAAATTTATACAACATCTTGAAACTTGTTTACTTTGACAGCTCAAGCTTACAAAGTTTTTTGTCAACTTGTGATGTTTTTACTGTCTTTTTCCACTGCATGCATAAAATAAAATACAGCTGCTATCAACAGTCTCCGTAAATAGGAGGAAAAAACGTTCCGAAGAGTATTTAGTTATAATTTTGGCTGCAGAAAGAAAGCTTTGAGCGATTTTCTTCCCTCGAGTTCATCTTTGAAAACAGTAAACACCGGGAGTCCGGTTAAAAGCTTTAAGCTTAAGCTTAACGACTCATTTTTTTTAGAGACGCTTTAATACTTGTCTTCGTGAATGAAAATTGTTGTCTCTGTAAATGTTTCACCAAATTATATTTCTTTTATTGATTGTTAGTAGTCTCTTGCAATTTTAATCGCCTTGCCGTTTGTTTTCAGTCGTTCATAAACATCGCTTGCAGGAGTACTCAAAATGCCGCGCGTATCAAACGCTTTTTAAGATTACACACCGTGATAAAACCATTAAATAACAAATAAACACAATAAATTCTTTATTATGTTGAAGCGTAACTCTTTTAATGTTCACTCAAAATTTGGCGCTTGTCAAAAGTGAGAACCGGCTGGCCGTATAGGTGATTTTGGAAATTTTTTGAACGGTTTTGCTAAAAGCCCACTCGTGCTTCGATGGTTCTGAATATTGAATGAATGCAATTTGTCTTGAAAAATTGTGAAATTATACTGCATTTTGTCTTAGGTCTGTATTACAAAAACAGCGCCTCATATTACTGTTTCACCTCAGATGTGATGTATAAAAAGTGTGAAATGTTGGTTTACACGCACCCAGATTTGTTGGCAAGATTTTGTGAGTAAACTTGTCGAACGCAAAAAATTAGGCCTGCTTTGTTTTCCAAGAACTCGTTTTCCAGGCCAAATATACTGTGATCAAGAGCCATTACGGGTCTTAAATGTGATCGAAGATGATTGCTATTTTTTGGGTGTACATATGAGGCTATCAACTCGATGTAAGGTTTTTTTTCACTCTAAAATTACTTAGCCTTAGCTTTCCCTAAAAAGTCACATATGTGCCCTTAAGTTAACTGTTTTGTGGATTACAAGTTTATTGTTTGATTTAAATGGGAGCTTCGCTTTTAGCCCTGGCTAAATCTATACATTATTTTATTTGATCAAGGGCTCTATCCATCCTAGAAAATTTGGCAACCACGTGACCTTACACCAACCGCCTGACCGTCCGCACCACAGGCATACCAATGTTTAATCTCACACTTTCTAGCTGGTTTGGTCCATGTGACCATCCATGTTGTGATCAGTTGACAGCCGTCAAAACAGTGTATCCGCTGACCAGTATCGCCTGACCGTATTGCGGGCTCAGGTATCGACCCATTGAGTTCGAGTACGTTTTTGACATTTTCCGCTGAGAAGTAACTACTTTTCAAATGATCACAGGCTGAAGTTCAATTTTTTTGAAATGCATGTAAAATAAGTTATGTTCATGAGCTGCACTATGCAGGGAAGGCAGTCGCTTTTGACTTTCCTCACCATGGACACGCGTCGGTCACGCTCTTCGTCCAATTTTTATGCTCTGATTGGTCAATGTTCATTTACTTACAGGACAGCCGGGACTGGAAATTTGGTGCTTGTCAATAGTGAGAACACGTCCGGCTGGCCGTATAGGTGATTTTGGGAATTTTTGATCGTTTTCACTAAAAGCCCCTACTTATTACCCTACATATGACATAGGAGCATATTTTTCTGACTGAACACTCGCTGCATTATGCTGAATTCTCTTCATGAAAACTTTTTACAATGTGATCAGTTCTATAATTTGTTGTGTAAAGGAAGCGCGTGCTTCGATCGTTTAAATGAGTGCAATTAGTCTTGCAAAATTGTGAAAAACTGCAGAATTATAGTTTTAAATAGGGCGAAAAAAAATTATGTCCGAGGGCTGTATGATAAAAAAACACAGCTCCTTATAGTACTGTTTACCTCAGACGTGATGTATAAAAAGTATATTTAAAAGGCTCGTTTACACGCCACCAGATTTGTCACTAAGATTTACTTGTATTAAAAGTAAACTTGTCGAACACAAAGAAATCCGGCCTGATTTCTTATTTTGGCCTCGCTTTCAGACAGAGGAAAGAAAAGTGTAAATTTTTGGCTGCCACTAAGGACTATCATGTGTTGCATAAACTTATATTTCGGGGCTGTCCAATTATCCATAGTCTCTCCAACGGAGTGGTTGGAGAGACTATGAATTTACCTTATAAAATAAAGGTGGTGTAGGTGGGCGACTGGGTTATTTTGTTTAGAAAGAATTTGCTTACCAGGCCTAATCTACTGTGATCGAAGGTGATTGCTATTTTTGGGTGTACTTGTAAGATTATTAACTTGATGTAAAATTGATTTGTTTGACTCTTGCACTGTCAAATTACTTTTTCTCTAAGATCAGTTAGCCTTTACCTTAAAAGTCACATGCATGTGCGCTAAAGTTAACTGATTTGTGGATTACAAGTTTATTGTTTGATTTACATTATAAATGTTTTAACGGGAGCTTCGCTCAAACAAACATCTGTTGTCGTATGTTGTGCCATTTGATGAACAAACGGGTTGTTTTTAAGATGGGCAGCTATTCACACATACACAGCGAGCATCATAAGGCCCAAACGCCTTACAAAAGCTGTGAAAATGACACGTCACGTCTAGGCAAGGATTCAAATCTGAGGATTAAAAAAAATCAGATTAGCTTTAACCAAAATCTACAAACTATCTACAAAAACAAATATAATAACAACAACAACAAAATAACATTAAAGGGACTTTGCCACAACGGTCTAGTTTTTCTTCAATATAGCCAATTACGCCTCCTTATTCGCATCTAAACACAGCGTTAGTAAAGATACAAAATCACACCGTCGAGTCAAACAAGTGTGTCTCCCAAGCGTCATGTCAAACGTTACAAACAACAAAAATAAACTTTGAACATTTGTCAGGCTACCAAGTTTATTTCAAAAGCCACAACTCCAATCCTTTTAAATCTTCTTCACTTCTTCGCCTTCTCTTTAATTCCGTGTTTCATTTATACCCTCTTCTAAAGATTTGAGGGGTTATTTTCATGTTTCACTCAACTTGGTGCATGTCCCGATGTTGGAATATTGATAACGTTTGTTAAACAATTCCTTTAATCAGCGGGAAAAACTCTCCATGAAACAAATTCAAACGATTCATGTCTTAAATTGTACTTATCAATACTTTGCAGAATACTGCGTGCATCGAAGTTTTAATTTAATTTTTACGTACCTCCAATCACCAGGTAATCCAGTTGTATTATGTCCTTATAGTTGGCGTTATTGCTGTGGCTTCTCATACACACCTCGGTTTCGTTTGTAAAGGTATGCTAGACGACATTCAGCAATGAGAAATTATCTGTTATTAAGAATCATCAGTATTGTTAGACACATTATGCCGGCATGAATTTCGTGTATAATGGCATAGTCAGAGAATCGAGAATAATGCCGGCATAATGGCTAAGTTTATAGCATAATTGTGGCATAATGCTACAAAACTAATATTTTCCCTATTTTCAGTGGAAATGTAAGAGTATTCAGATCTTTCTGAGGCTTGGTTACTAGTTTAGGGGCCTGGTTACAGCAGTATGCAAGCTCCATCAGGCTTGGAAGTCATCCTGACAACAATCACAACATGGCAAGTCCCGAGTCAAGTTCAGTTGACCTCAATTCAGTTGCTGGCTCTTCTGAGCTAGGAGAAACAGTGACAAACGCGTTAAGTCAATTAAGAAGGGCACAAGAATCCGATTTTGTAAGACGTCGTGTAGTTGCCTCTCATAAAGGCAACAACAAAACCCAACGAGGGCCAGGCAAGACTAGTCAAAAGAAGTCTACGTCTCTGAAATATGTCTCAGTGAACGCAATAATAAGAGAATTCAAAGAAGAGCCCTTTCGTAGGTCTAATGGTAAGCTATTCTGTGAGGTCTGTAGGGAAGAAGTTTCTGTGAAAGCAAGGATTATTAAGCGCCTCGTCGAGTCTTCGAAGCACAAGTCCGGAAAGCAAAGACTATCGCAAAAGAAGAAAAGAGATGTTAATAGCTGACGCGATGAGAAACTATGGCCAAGAAGTCCATCCTAAAGGAGAAATGCTCAGTGACAATCAAAGAGTGTTTAGAGTGGAAGTTCTCAAGACATTTCTCAAGGCAGGAGTGCCACTTCACAAGATGGATGATTTCGTGAACTACCCGAAGAAGAAGGCTACCGTCTCACATCGGCGCCCCACATGCGACAGCTGATTCCATTCTTGAAAAAAGAGGGGGAAGAAAAAAATCAAGGGTGAGATATCTGGTACCAACGTTGCTGCTATCTTTGATGGGACAACGAGGCTTGGAGAAGCATTGGCTATTGTGATCAGGTTTGTTACAGCAGATTTGGGAAATTAAACGGCGCCGGGTACGACTACAGTTGATAGCCAAATCTCTCAAAGGGAAGGAGCTAGCTCGTGAACTAATTATGGTCCTTGCACAACATTATAATGTTCAGAACAACAACCTTTGTGCGGCAATGAGTGACAGAGCCTCTGTGAATGGAGCTACCATGAGAACTGTGAAGGTTGTTTTTCCTAAAGTGGTTGATGTTCGCTGTTTCTCCCATACCGTAGATTGTGTTGGTAACCATTTTAATATCCCTATCCTCAAGCGCTTTTTGCAGCTTTGGAACAGCCTTTTTGGTCACAGTCCTGCCACTCGACTCGCTTGGAGAGAACGCACTCTATGAAGTCCTATTCGCTGACACGGTGGTGGAGCTGGTGGGAGGTTGCGCAACAGATTATGCTACAGTTTGCTGAGATTCTCCCTTCCGTGCAACAAAGACTGCAAGAGGCTGGAAGCAAGGCTGCCACTCTAAAGCAGATTGAGGCAATGTTCAATGATGTTCAATCGAACTGCTTCCTACTGGTTGAACTTGCAGCAGTTGTTGATGCGGGCAAGCCAATGGTTGAGTCGACCTATATTCTTGAGGGAGATTGCGCGCTAGCTATCAGCTACTCATATTCATGCAAAACAGCGACAATGTAGTCAACCTCCCAAACCTCACTGCTGTATCGTGGCACATCTCTGGAGGAAACCCTGTTGTTGCCCAGCAATGTTACCAGTATGGCGTAGCGGCTGTTCAGTCTGGATGGGACTACTTCCCTCAGACAGTGATGGGTACACTTAACAGCCAAGTTGAAATCTTCAAAGTTGTTAGATTGTTCAGCCCACATCAAACCTGCTATTTGCGTCCTGTGGCAAACGACATCGATGCCATCGCAGCTATTTCCTTTCTCAATAATGCTGCTGTCACAAGAGACCTCAAGAACGAGCCACCGGAATACCTGGTGAAGGCAGACGGAATTGCGCCTGATGTTCACCCAGTTGGTTGGTAGAAGAATAATGCAGATGAGCTGCCCTTTTGGTCAGCAGCAGCTAAGCTTTCTCTCCTGCTCCAGGCATCATCAGCTTCATCTGAGAGGGTCTTTTCCATTCTGACTACGAGGTTTGGACATTTGAAAAACCTTATGCTTCAAGACTATACTGAATGTTCATTAATGCTTCAATACAACAAGGGATAAACATATACCAAATTGCTGACATACAATACTTGTATTAACATGCTTTACACATTTTAGATTTTCCGCATTATTGTTCGTCGCCTTTAAGAGTAAAACAATAATATTAAAAAGTTGCGTTTTAAGCTTTGGGGACTCGTTTGGGTGGTACCGTGGATTCAAGGACGAAATTTCAGCCAGCATCACTCGAACATAATGGTCTGACACCAGCATAATTTTCGGCACAATGGTACGATTTTTAGGGTGACGATGAAAAGCATTATGGTCAAATTTACGAGCATAATGTGTCTAACCTTAATCATCAGGTATCCTGTCTAGTGTCTCTCGAGCGCGAGGATACTACAATGCCAGCAAGATAAACTGTCAAATGCATATTTTTCGACGTCGAAAAACTGAATGTCAAATGCACCTTATTTTTCGCTTATAAAATGAATTTAAAATCAAACAACGTCTGCCTAAGATCAACGTTAATATGTGACAATAGATTTTGCGCCTCCAAGCGCCAATCGGGGAAAACGAGCGTTGGGGGAATTCGAGTGACTTCGGCCTATGAACAACGAAGGGGGAAAACTAACTCTGCTACTCGCTTGGCTAGCGGGACTGGAACCCGTCACTGTTCCAGGGTACTACGGATCTGCTACAACTGGAAACAAGACACTACTCAAATATGGACGTCAACACTTTAATCTTCAGCTCTTGAACGTAAATCGCAAATGGGAATCATAAAATTATAGTCACGTAAATAAAAAAAGGGATAACAGTCTTCTATTTATACTAACCAATCAACTTATTACAACATCGAAAAACAAATGCAAAGAAGGCTGGATAAAATCAGCTGACGACTGAAAACAAACCTGGATAAATGCAGCTGTAAAGTTCACATGCTAAACTAAATGACTCAAAATTAAATGTCAGTCAAGCAAATGAATTTCGGAAACTGTGCTGTGCAAAAGAAATCAAGTTTCCTTTGTTCAGGATTCCTTTACTTTGAAGTGTCTAAATAACGGTTGGCATTGAACAGAAGAAAGTTGTAAGCTAAGCTTTATTATTCACAAACTAATTATCCTTTTAGTTTTGTTTGTTAGGGAACACTGGCGGCTTTTCTACAATTATGACTTTAGCGAGGACAGAGCAACTGAAATAAAGGACAATAAAATGGCCCGAGCGCATTTGGCAACTAAAACATCTCAATGCAAATTCAATGTAAATGTAAAAAGGAATATTTCAGAGCTGGATATGAAATCGAGGCAAGTATATAATTCATGGGAAATCTCTCCTTAGTCAAATACCTCCTACCTGAACCCAAGCAGTAACTCCGTTACAAGTTCCGGAAGCCGAGAAACGTGAGTTGTTGTTATGGTAACTGAGTCTTGGTGAAACCATCACTACCGGAGGGGCATAGAAAGCATCAGTGAACTTTATTTTCTAAAAAAAAAAAAAAATGGAACTATTAATCAGCATTATTGGTTTTATATATTTCTACACATGTTCGCTACCGGTATGTATAGATGTTTGACGATGAAAACATTAGAGCTCTATGAAAATGACCTATTTTTTATGTTCAAGCCGAAAGCCAGTTTATTGCTGGTTAGATTAAGAAAATTAAAGGTTCAATGTATTTATAAATATAAATGACTCAGAAACCCAAACAGTATAACTTACCTGACAGGCAGCACTGTTTTGTTGCTTGTTTAATGGTGAGTTATTGTTTGTTATCACAGAGTCATGGATCAAGGTAGAATTCGGCGTCATAAGCTTAACAAATGCTATCCAGTCCTGAAGGAAAAATGAAAAGTTATTATCAGTGTTATCAATATTTTCCTTCTAAAGTCAAGGTTGTGTTCTAAGAGCAATTGAAGGGAGCCTAGTGCTCTGAACCTCCGTGTAAATCATAGGGTGCCCAGCATAGAATCTCTATGAAAAATCTACAATTTCCTTGTACGCAAAGAGCATACGTTCAAGGGCCACTGGGCACTGCTACAGTACTGCCCCTGTAAGTTGCAGCAACTAGAACGCCCTGGTCAAATATCATCTCTTGGTGCGTCTACTTCAAAACATGTAACAGGTAACAAAAGGGAATGCACTTACCACCTTGATGTTTTTATGCAGCCCATCAAAAATCTTAGTTTCCCTGAGGCAAACCTTAAAACAGTCCCTGCGTACATCCTCTACCCACAAGGCCATGGCGTCTTGAGGTCTCTTAAGAACGTGGTGACGAGCTGTCACAAAGATGCTCGGAGAAACTGAGAAAAGCTGAAAAATTGAAAACAGAGAGAAAGGAATGATCAATAACCCTCCTTTTCCAAACGAAACAGGATATTATACATAACAAAAAAAGTATGATAGAAAAAAAAATTATTATGAACCTCAAACAAGCAAATTAGAGAGTTTGCAGCTGAAAAACTAATAGAAGAGTTTAAGAATAAAACACAGAATTTGCAAATAAAAAAATAACCATAAATTTTAGTTGGCGACGTGGAATCAAAAGGAATCGAAATATAGACTTTCTCACTAAATTTTCTAAAGCGAAAATAAGAACAAACAGTAGATATGAGAAAATATTTTGAAAAGGGATAAAGGGATAAAAATAAAAAAACAGAAATGAATGAGAAGTGGAGGACAGATTGCAACATAACTTTAGTTCATAGATGACAAAATTAGGACAGAAAAAGATAGAGATTTTAAAATATGAAAGATCGTAAACGAATTAAGAATGTTATTATATACTGCAGCAAAGGAATAAAGCATGACTAAAAGATATAAGAAAAAAGTCAAACGGAGAGTCAGCAGCTCATGGCTCCTAAATAAAGATATAGGAAGTTAGACATTCAGTCAAACAAATCTCAAAAAATATCTTCCTTAAGTCTTGTCTCTAGGTTGGAGTGAACAGAAATAACTAAACCAGTTAGAGCTTTTAAATGTAAAGTGAACTGAAGGAAGACGCAAGTGGAAACAAAGCTAACCTTTTCAAAGGCGATCCTTTTACACTTTATTCCAGTGGTCCAAGAATCCAACGAGACGGTGTCTAGTTGAGCGCCAACGGGAACAGATTGCAGGGCCATCCAGCTTATTTTCGTAGTCTTACTAGAACCATCTCCGTACTCCAAAGCACAAACTGTAAATTCATTATTATTCACAGATTCCACCCAAACAGCTGCGCCATTTCTACCAGTTGAACTCTTTGTTGCGTGGATTTTGGAAACGAAAACTTTCACATCCTGTCCGCCATTGAAAGGCTTCTCAAAGGAAACCTTTTCACACGCAAACAGACCAGAAGTAGTAAAGGTCATATTGCATATTCCCGTTTTGATACTCTGCGCTGGGAAATACATAAAAACAAATTTTTTTTTTTTTAAAAAGTGACGAATATTTTCTTTTATACCTTCACCGTCTTGGTAAGTAAACGCAGCAATGAAGAAGGAAACCAAAAACAACTGTGCACGGACTTCTTGTTCGGAAGACATCTTGCTTCAAATAAAGAAAAATCTAGCCTTATGTACATTATATTATACCTCTTAGCAATACGTGGCAATGTAGTCGAACTTGTTTTTACGCGTTCAATACAATCTCACTGAATCTCTTTGTTTGTGGGGTAGGGGGTAAAGAACTTGGATACAGATGATTGTAAGGTTTTTTGCAGTAATTCAGTAGGGTGGAGACGACGGTTCATTCACTCTCACCACTACCATGGTGATGTATTGAAAAATGCTGGAAAAAAAATTAGGCTTCAAAGAACAACTGTCAAACCCAGGATATTTTTTACCCCAACACAAAAGTTGTTAATATTTCGATGTCTCGGATGAATTTTGATCACAGAAAACTGTATTTCTTTCCTTTTCTGTTACAATTATGAAATTCCTGGATGATCAAGTCTCCCGACGCCACACAAATTCCATCGAAACAAGAGGGCGGGAAGGTTCTATTTTGCCCCACCGACGTGTAGGTTGTTACAGCGCAGGATTGACGTCATCTTATCCAGTTCGCGGATCAAGCTTTTAAGCAACAGATATTCTTTGAAATAATATGCGACTTAGTTATGTGGCGTTAACAAATTCAGATTCAGCGTCCACATTTGCATTTCCATATTTATCTAGTTCGCATACATTTTTATTCCCTTGCAAGTTTATTTCGGTTGCTTATGATTGCTGAACATTTGCTTGCAATTAAAATTCTCATCGCTGTGTATTAGAAGCAACGATTCTCGTCGAGAAGTTAACCAAAGGATTACAAGAATGAAATAACGATACGCAAAATTTCATTTAGCATTTCAGACAATGACAATTACACTGAGATAAATTATCATTTTTTGGTCCTCTCAATTGTCCAACCTCGACTTATTTTAATTACCGGTAGTTTCGTTAAACCGTTGGCGGTTAAAGGGAATTGTCCGCTTTCGCAGTTTTTCTTCATAGCGACCCAACATAGGTTTGTTACCCCCATGTTTTCATGATACGAACGACTTCCGCGAGACAAAAGTAAATAATTATTCTCGTTTCAACGCGTTGTCTATCTCATATGCCATGGAAGAGTCACTAATTTTGTTTTCAATTTTCTTTAAAAGGGGGAAATATTGATACAGGCAACCGTACAATAGGTACATTCAAAATCTTAGAGTTATTCTTTCACTGCGAAATCCAAGAAATGCCAGAGTTTATTTTCAGATGTTTATTTTGCACAATCACATGTCAACATATCAGTGTAACAATCGCTGCCTAAACACTTGGTAACGTTAAAAGATAAAGTGTAATCTGACTCCCTTTCCTTTTCTTTATCGCAGTATAATTATAATGACTTAATCTCCACTATTAGCCTAAAAGAAAAATTTGAGATTATTACAGATTACTAATAATTACCCGATCTGTTTATATCTGCGTGAAATACAGAAAGATTTGGCTGAACCGTAGATACATGCCACCGGTATGTAAAAGTGAAAATGAGTAACAATATGAAAAAAACACTGCAAAAACCCTTCTTGATCTATGAGCGCCTTAATATTACGTACAAATGTCCTTCACTTCTGTCGCTAAAAGAACAAATATAAGCATTGAAACCAAAGTTGCACCTTTGTCCCTCAAGATACTCTCACCTCTGACGATAGCTTCCCAGTGTCTCTGTACAGAAATCTGTAATAAAATGAAGCATAGCCTTCTTCTTAATTTTGTCGGACAGGCTGGCTAATAACTTGAAAACTTAAACTTTCTTGGTTAGAGCTAATTTTCGAACGGAGTGTAGTTATCATAACTACACTTCGTTCACGATACTCAAAAATTTACCAAACGCCACGGTAAAGGTAGCAAGTAATAACCTCATTTTTTATGCTGAATTTAAAAATTTCTTTACTCACGAAAAAAACCGAATGTTACGTATTTTCACCTCGTTCAGCTCCTTTTAAACTTCTTCTAGAATGCGGAAACGCACTTAAAACGTCACATTTATGGATACAATATAATTTTTTCATTAAAAATTCTTTTTTGTAGGCTTTTTCTCGGACACGTGTCGTTGTGTTTTGAACGGAATAGCTGTATCAATTCCACAGATGCCTCTACAAGCAGCCCTTAGCGCGGGAAGTGTGGCTAAGGGAACATTTTGTTATTATCGTCCTGCAAAGCAGGAGAGTTTTAGTTATTCAGTCCTTTTTCATAGGGTGACTTAAGTGCTGGACAATTAAAAGATGAAATGAAGAAACTGTTGAACCTTGCAAATGGTGATGCAGCACAAGAGTATGGATATCGACATGAGTCTGGACTTTCAGCAACATTATGGTATTGACATGACAGCAAAGAGGAAATAAATGGTGATGGAAGTTGCTGAAGAAGCGGAAGCAATTAAGCGGTCAATAGAGAAAATTGCAGCCTTGAAAGCATTACTCAAGTCATTTGGCTTAGAGTAAGAATTCTCAAGTGAAGATGAGCACTCGTCAACTAAGAACGATACAGATTATGACGATTGCTGTGAAGCAAAGGGAGTTTAGCTGGCGGGGAGCCATGTCTGACAAGGCCCTTTGGCACAGACTCAAGTGTTCCTGAAAAAGATAACTGTCCTGTTGACAATCCACAACCAAGTTTACCAATACTGATAAATGCTACAAGCACCAAACAGATATCGGGGAAAAGTGAACTCGCATCAACTGGTTGACATATTAAAGAAGTGCGAATCGAACTGGTTTCAGTTTGTACAAGTGATAACAGAAATGTTCGAGCTTTCTAAAGAAGCGATCTATTAAGGTGGCTCCCTAGAGTATTTACTAATAATCCAAGCTATCAAGCATACGTTACAGAAGGAAATCTGGTTACTTTGTCTTTGCGATTTTGTTCACGAGATTCACCGCTAAGGTTACCTATGTAAGAAGGTTCCTTTATCAAGTTTCATTTTCTGGATTAAGGCCGTTGCCATGGAAACATCGCATCCTTAAACAGGCAGTAATTTTGTCATTTTTGCTTAATATTTCTAATTTCCCGCGGTCAAATGTCTTTAAACTTTGACACTTTATATTAACGATATTGCTTAACATTTTAAAGTGGAAAAAACATGGGGTCGTTAAGACGGTTTTGCCAATATTTTGAAATTTGTAATTTTTCTTTATTGAGGAGTTTAGCTCTTACAGATTTTGACAAAAAAATGACAGTACAAAGGTACTGCGACTGTTAAGAAATGAGGTGATTTTAAAAAAATCTACCGAAGGAAACGCGAGAAATTCACGGTTAATTAACTGCGCTGACGTCACAAAAATCCGAAAAACACGCGTGGTTCGGGTTCGTGTGAGCAAAATACGCGCGCGAGCCATCACGCCCGCATGCGCATAATGCACAAAGCTACTGAAAACATGTGGTTTCTTTGAAGAGTAGGAAAGCCATTGTTTTGAAGCCGTTTATTAGTATTATTACGGTGATATCTCGCCAGTTGAAAAAGGAGAGATAGTGGATTCAATTTTATACCTAACACATGATGTTTTCTTCGAAGAACTTGACTGTTGTAGTTAAAATTCGAACCGTGGTGGTCACTCGTGAGGATGGCGATCGTCGGAGATGAAAACGGTGGTTGTACAAGGATCGCAATAAGCCCTTCATTTCCTAATCTGCTGTACACTGTTTGCAGATCTTCAAATGTCAGCCTACTTCCGGATACTTTTTCAACCTTGTTCTTCTTTAGCGATAATTTTGACGGCGAAGTTTTTCTTTAAAAGTCTGCTGTAGAAGATGGGGCCGATCTATAAATCGTACGTCATGTCCTCAGCTACACGTACAAGACCGTAGGTCTCGACGGACAACTATTGCTTTCGTGAAGGGTCAATCTGTGAGTAAAAATTATTTCTCGTTGTGCAAAAACATTTTCTAGTGCATATTGCGTGTGCGTTGAAGGACTTTTGAAACAAGAAAAAAGACAAGGATGTTGGTTCGTCGATGGAAAGGTTCCTTCGATTAGGATGCAAGTGAAGTGGGAAACCTTTTTTCTGATAAGTTTTTTAAACAATGTGATAGAGTCGGCAAAACAAAAAAAAATTTACACTCCCTGTTATCTTGTCTTAAAGCCACTCCTAGAATTACTTAAATCAAATCAAATTTAAGAGAAATAAAGTGACCGAGGAGCTCCGCCAGTGAAGACAATTCTTCAGTGTTTATTCGGGAATTGGCTTGATCTTTCAGATCTTTCCAGTGACCGTGAACCAAAGGCCAGAAACAGCAACATTGCTTCCTTCTGGGTTAGTGTACTTACTTCTTTGTTTTCTAAGTAAAGTTTCCACTCACCATTTACTTCGAGTATTCAACGTTTGTCTACTTTTGAAGCGAAAGAATTGATGTCTGTGGAAAATTTCTGCCTTGTTTTAACATACAATTTACTCTTATGGAGATCGATAGTGACTTGTAACCGGTGTGACATTGTCTCCTCTCATAAATGTTTGACCTACACTAATCAAACTTTTTGCACAATAAGCTTCAACAGAAAGTTAATAAAGTTTTTTGGGTGGAATATTTCGAAACTGAGAGGCCATGTTTGTTTTAATTTTTGCGTGGACGTCGCGCGGATTTTAAAGCTCGCGCCATACTAGTGCTCAGGTTGCGCACGGCCAATTTACTCTAGGGAGCCACCTTAACTCTTGCTTGATTTTGCTGGACATTTGACCTACCTTGGCTTAAGCACTTATGATGAAAAAGTTATCGAGCAATCAACAAAAGAGAAACAAAGACAAGACAGAGAAGCAGGACTTGTGATGCCAGTCTGATACAAGTGAAGAATTGTGGGGTTTGGCATAAATCATACTTTAGATGAAAGTGGAAGGATTGTGCAACAGGAAAGAGAATCCATCCGTAGAAAGGCTTGTAGGGAGGATATGAGAAATATAGCACAGAGAAAGGTTAGTAAAGCGATAGTAGTAGGAGAGTTGGAGCAGTTATCTGCGACTGCCCTGGATTGGACAGGAAATTGAAAGTGTTGCAAAAAAATGTGGAAATGAACTCGAATGAGCTACTGCCAGGCAAATAGCATTCACAACCCTGTGGGGATTAAGTCTTAGAGGGAGAATCAAGCTGCGTAACTGTAGACAGAATGAACCTACTTGAAACTGCATTAGAGGAAGTAGGAGCACTTGAAAACCTTCGCTTGACGTCATTACTTTCCATAACTAGTGTTGTAACATTTTAAGTATTATTACGATGTTCAGTTCTCTCTATTCCCAATGGCAGGTAAAAAATTATTCTTGTAGTTTTCATCACTGCTTAATAGATGTGCTCTTCATTCTCAGTAGTAGTTTTAATAAGATGTGTCAATGATGGCAATGGAAAGATTAACAAGATGATGACTTTTAAACGAGTCAAAGAACATCTTGAGGAAAAATACAAGAGAAAGATCTCCTTTGTCACTGTCGTTTAACTCGGTCAGCTACGCAACAAGCGAAGAAAATCAGCTGCGCGTTACAAATGCCTTGCAAACGTAGTTCAGAAACGTGCTAGGAAAGGCTTTAATGTACGTTACATCCCAGATGAACACTGAAAAGCCGCTTTATATGCGGCACTCGAGAGAGGGCTCTCAGAGCTCCAGAATGACTGCTTTGAGTTGCTCTCCCACATGTAACGTGCTTATACCATCCAATCTGAATGGTTCCTGCACCATGGGAAACAGAGAGGTGAACAATGAAGGGCTGCACAACTCTGCTATTGACGTGTACATACGAAAAGTAGATATTAGGCTCCTTGTGCAAGCACAGAAATCCATCTGCTCAAGGGTGCAAATAGTACCGAAAATCAGAAAGAAACCAAACTTCTGAAAGTATATTCAAAAAGGAGTGAAAAAGAAAAGGAACAGCTACCCAAAAACCAACCACAAGATTTTGAAAGTTTTGAAATTACCGTAAAATTCCCAAAGCCCCGAGGTTTATATTTTTCAAAGGCCCTTTTTGAGGGGCTTATTTTTCGAGGGGCTTATATTCAGAGGGGCCTATCTACGGAGGGAAATTTACGTTTCAAAATCGATTGGGCTAGCCTTATAATTTTTGGAAGTAAATATACCGTTTTTGCTTTGTTTTACTTTCTATTTGAGGGCAATTCTCCGAGTACAAGCCCAAACTGAAACTGCTTTAAGATGCCAATAAGGTGCATTGTAGTTATATGCAACACTGGCGACTCTAAGAAAAGGATAAGAATGCATATGATCCCGTTTTTCAGTTCCTGATTTTTTTTCTTATGACATCACATATGAGCCTATTAATTTCGTGATCAGGAGCACCAGTGTGCCAAAGAAATTTAGTCTTAATAGTTTTCAAAAAAAATCTCATTTTCTTGAATACACAAATTTATTGCGACGAAATTATAGTAGTAACATGTTCTTTCAGTCAACCAAATCTACAATCCCCCAAAATAGAGACAACAAAAAATAGCATCAAGTAGAGAAAAAAACCTCTCCATGAAACAACTTCAAAAGATTCATGTCATAAAATATACTTGATACACTGCAGCATACAGCCTTTACCAAGGGTTTGATATATTTTTTACGTACCTCCAATCACCAGGTAATCCAGTTGTACGATGTCCTTATAATTGGCGTTATTGCTGTATCTTCTCATACACACCTCGGTTTCGTTTGTAAAGGTATGCTAGACACAATCATTAGAAGTATCAGATTATCAATCATTAAGCATCATCAGGTATTTTCTTACCATAACTACTATGTAACTAGGTACACCAAGGTCGTTTAGAAAGCGAAACCGTGGCGTGCACAGGTTGGTTGGAAAAATTGGGAAAAAACAAAACAAAAAAAAACTTTTTTGGACTCCTTAAACGACATGAAAAATTGAAACAGAGACAATGCTAAAAGTAAATTAGAAGGGAAAAGATAAGAAGGCAGCCGAAGGACGCAACGACTAAGAAAAATGGCTCCAAGTTTCATATTTGTTACCTGAATCCACGCAGTAACTGCGTTACAAGTTGCGGAAGCCGAGAAACGAGAGTTGTTGTTACGGTAACTGAGTCTTGGTGAAACCATTACTACCGGAGGGGCATAGAAAGCATCAGTGAACTTTATTATCTAAAAAAACAAGAAAAGAATCAGCGTTCTTAAGTTTTTCTACACATATGCGGTATATGATATATCTTGTTTAAATAGTTAACGATAACAACATCAGAGCTCCATGAACTTATGAAAGACTTTCTATTCATGAATATAATAAGTGACTGAGAAACCAAAACAGTATAGTTGATTAGTTACTTTACCTGACAGACAGCGTTGTTTTGTTGCTTGTTTAGTGGTGAGTTATTCTTTGTTGTTACAAGGCCATGGATCAAGGTAAAATTCAGCGTCATCAGCTTAACAAATGCTATCCAGTCCTGAAGGACAAGTGAAAAAGTATTAACAATGTTATCAATATATTCTTTCTCAAGTCAAGGTTGTTTCTAAGAGAAGGGAGCCCATTGCTCTGAACCTGTGTAAATCACAGGGTATCCAACATAGGATCTCTATGATAAAAGCTACGATTTCCTAGTAGGCAAAGAGCAAAGGTAGAGCTCAGGGGCAACTGGGTTCTGCTAAAGCACAGCCCCTGTAAGTTGCAGCAAGGGAGGAACCGCTTGGTTGTCGTGTGAGTCTACTTTCAAACATGTAACAGGTAACAAAAGGAATTCACTTACCACCTTGATGTTTTTATGCAGACCATCAAAAATCTTAGTTTCCCTGAGGCAAACCTTAAAACTATCTCTGCGTACATCCTCTACCCACAAGGCCAAGGCGTCCTGAGGTCTCTTGAGAATTTGGTGACGAGCTGTTACGTAGATGCTCGGAGGAATTGAGAAACGCTGAAAAACTAAAAGGGAAAAAAAAAAATAATTAATTACATTTCTTTTTCAAACAAACAAGGGTATGATATAAAACGATGGAAGAGTGATAGAAAAAATCATTTTGAACTTGAAAGAAGCAAATTGGATGGAATTTCCTAGTGCAGATGAAAAACAACTAAGAACAGTTTTACGAATTAAACACAGAATTTGCAAATCTGCAAATAAAACGATAATCATGAACCTGGCAACGTAGATACAAAAGGAATCGAAATATAGACTTTCTCACTAAATTTTTTAGAGCAAAAATTAGCAAAAATATGAAGATTGTTAAAGCTTTTTAAAGATGTATTAATGTAAATAAAAAAATTGAAATGATCAAGAAAAGTGGAGGACAGATTGCAAGATAACTTTGATGGAAGAAAATAGAGGTAGCAATATATGTAAGATCTTGGTAAACGAATAAAGAATCGTATTTTATAATGCAAGAATGTTATATCGCATGACTTAAAGATATAAGGAAGAAGTCAAATGGAAAGTCCGCAGCTCCTACGAGCTAAATAAAGAAAGAGGAAGTTAAAGCCACTCAGTCAAGCAAAGCTCAAAAAATAACGTAGTGAAATCTTGTGTCTAGGTTTGAGCAAACAGAAATACCTAAATCAGTAAGAACTATTAACTTAACGAAAACGCAAGGGGAAACAGCGGTAACCTTTTCAAAGGCGATCCTTTTACACTTTTCTCCAGTAGTCCAAGAATCCAACGAGACTGTGTCTAGTTGAGCGCCAACAGGAACAGATTGCAGCGCCATCCAGTTCACTTCCGTAGTCCCACTAGAACCATCTCCGTACTCTAAAACACAAACTGTAAATTCTTTATTATCAACAGATTCCACCCAAATTGCCGCGCCATCTCCACCACTATAACTCTTTGTTGTGTGGCTTTTGGAAACGAAAACTTTCACATCCTGCCCGCCATTGAAAGGCTTCTCAAAGGAAACCTTTTCTAACGCAAACAGACCAGGAGTAGTAATGGTGAAATTGCATATTCCAGTTTTGATACTCTGCGCTGGGAAATACAAAAAAGTAAAAATAATAAAAATAAGTTGCAAAACCGAAATACAGAGATGAATGATCTCTTTTATACCTTCAACGTCTTGGTTAGTAGGTGAACCTATGAAGAAGAAAGCCAACAACCACTGTACACGGACTTCTTGCACGGTAAACATCTTGCTTCAAATGGAGAAAAATCCACTCGGTTGAACATTATACCTCTTAGCAATACGTGACAATGTGGTCCAACTTGTTTTTACGTGTTTAGTAGATGTCATTTGCTTTGTTTGTGGGGGTAGGGGGTAAAGATCTTTGAGATAGTTGATTGTAAGATTTATGCGGAAACTTAGAACTGAAAATTCTAATTACCGTCTCCAGCTTGCGACCATTAAAACTGACTGACATTTTTATCCTCTTGCACCCGAATTGTAAATGATCTAAATCATCATCCGTAGACTTGTATTTCTGTCGTGGAGTGAGGTAGAATACATTGTTTTCTAAAGTCTCCCACTAACTCTTCCAAATTCAACTCAGGGGAAAAAGGCTCCTGAGAGAACGTATTTTGCGTTAGGAAAATTTCGTCGTCACTATCCATTGCCGCTCTCACAAGTGTACTGGCCCCCCCAAAAATACCAAGACAAAAATAAAAAAACACAAAAGGTTTGAAATTTGATTGTTGTCGGCTCAGCAAGCAAACAATGCGCTATTGTTCTCCGTTTCTCACCTAAGTGAGAACAAGTGGTTTGATCAAAAATTATGACAATGAAATACGTCATTGTCTGCGGTCGGATCAAAAAATGACAAACAAACAGATGTCAAAAACAAGTGGCCAATTATTGCCCTGTGAAAGACGACCTTTATGTAACCTATACCTCATGAATAATATCATGAAATAAGTTAGATAAACCCCTCGAACGTCGGTATTAATCCATATCTGGCTTAATACCTCTGTTCTCGGGCTTTATCTCTTACATAAAGGCAAAAAACACAACAACCCACTGAGGAATGCTGGAATTTGTGTGAACCTAGAGCACTTATAATCTTGAATAAGAAATAAACCAAACGAAAATTATATTATTTGTTTTATGTGGCCCAAAATTTTGACAGACAGTTGTCAGGTTAGGTCTCCGCCACGAAATTGATAGCCGACTTCATCTTGTCCATGATCCAAGCTTTACTGAATTATTTTGAACCCGATTCTTAAATTACTTTATTCACCAACGCCACAACAAATGTTAATATTTTGATTTAAAGATAATCTAGGGTGAATCTCGACCACAGAAAACTTTCCTGTTCTATGTTATACTTAGATAATTAAGTCAGTCTTACGAACACGAAAATTCACGAAGGTTCCATCTTGCCTCACTGAGGTGTAGCTTGTTATATGTAATATAGCGAAGGATTTACGTCACCCCGGCCAGTTTACAGAGCAAGCAATGAAGCAAGAGATATTCATTGAAAACATTTGCGATTTAGTTATGTGGCATTAACAAGTTGTTAAGATTTGCATTTCAATTTTCAGTTTATCGAGTCTGCACACTTTTTTATTTTCTTGCATGTACATTTAGGTTGCTTATAATTTCTGAATATTTCCCTGAAATTAAAATTTCCACGGCTTTTATTAGAAGCAACGCTTTCGTCGAGAAATTAACCGAAGTATTAAAAGACAAACACTTTCCTCTTACTTTTGAATGCTTGATATTGATACGCTGAATTTCATTTACCATTTCAGACCGAGACAATTATACTGAGATCCGAAAATTGTAATCAGGATACTTGATTAAAATTTAGCTCGCATAAGACCACGCAACGATCTTTAGAATTTTGCTAAGCCAGCGTGTTATACTCCTCAACGCCGAAATAAAGAAAGAAATTTCAAGGACTCGGTACGGTATGGCCTCTAGTCGTATTTGAACCTTGCGGGTAAAAACCTTTAATGTTTAGACTCAGAGTGGTCCTCTAAATTGTCCAACCTAGACTTAATTTAATGTTTCGCTATAAAGTTTGCGATTCAAGGGAATTATCCTCTTTCGCCGTATTTCTCCTTCATAGCGACCTCAACATAGGTTTGTTACCCCATGTTATCTGAAGACGAACGACTTCCGCGAGACAAAGGTAAATAACTATTCTCGTTCCAACGCGTTGTCTATCTCAGAAACCATGAAGAGGTCCAATGATTTGTTGTTTTCGTTCTTTTTTTTTCAAAGGGGGGAAATATTGATACAGATAAGCATAGGTTACAAAAGGTACGTTCAAAATCTTAGAGTTATTCTTTTCAGTGGTAAATCCAAGATATACCGGAGTTAATTTTCCCCTTTTTACAGATGTTTATTTTGCATAATGACAAAATGGCAAATTATGTAAGAATCGCTGCCTAAACATTTCTTAAATTTCTGTTAAAAGATAATGTGTAATCTAATTTCCGTTCCTTTTTTCTATTGCAATATTATTATGACTTAAACTTCAAGTTTTAGGCTAAAAAAAAAAATTGATTATTGCAGATTAGTGATAATTACCCAATGTATTTATATATTTGCGTGACACACAGGACATTTGGCTAGACCGTGGATATACTACCCGTATGAAAAGTGAAAATATGGAAAAAAAAAACACTGCAAAAAAAACCCTCCTTGATCTATGAGCGCTTTACTTTAGGTATAAACGTCGTTCATTTCTATCGCCAATAAAACTAATATAAGCACTGAAAATCACGTACAGTTACACGGTTGGTTCTCCCTCAGGATACCACTCACCTTATGATTACTTCCTGATATCTCTGTATAGAACTTTGTAATAAAACGAAGAATAACCTTCGTCTTAACTTCGTCGGACAGCCTGATAGCCTGAAAAATTAACTTAAACTTTCTTGGTCAGAACTAATTTTCGGACGTAGTGCAGTCATTTCATCACGCAGTCGAGAGTATACAAAACGTCACGGTTAACTCGACCTATAATATGCTCATTTTATACATTGCATTGAAATCAAACATTTGTTTTGTCACGAAAAAAATTCATAATAACAGAACAGGTCAAGCGTGTCGTTCCTAGAACGGGAGTTGAAAAGAAAATGGGAAAAACAAGAAATTCTGTATCAATCATGTAAGTTTAATAAACTATGTATTTGTTAAAGTAAACTGCAATTGTCTCTTTGCGACCAGATGGCGGAATTTAACAAGTTATGGACAGGATCGGAAAATAGTGAGTAATAACTACAAATAGATATTTTGGCGTTTTTAAATGGTACTCCGTACTGCCAACGTCAGTAATACTGAAATATGAGATTATTGCCCGCTGTTTTTGGTCAAACATTTTATCAACATACAAGCAATAAATAAAATTAACTGCTGGCGCCACCGGTCTGACAAACATTGAATTTCTGCGTTTAAGTTTCTTAGTCATGTCTCTAATTGTTCTAAATTGGGGATCTTTGACGTTCCAAAACAAAAAATTAAACATATCCTGTGTTGAACGTTATCTTTGAGTTTTAATTGCTTTAAATTTTTTTTTTGCTTTATTGACCAAACCATTCAAGTAATTTATAAAACATCTTCATTAGCAACCTACTCAGACAAGTTTGCTCAGAATTAAGAAGCTTTTTGACACCAAAAGTTGGTAAACATACAACCGATCAAAGGAGCTGAAAAATTTGAGGTGCGTACAATATAAAACTTTTTAACAAGAATGGCAGATAGAGATGTTTGTAACTACAATATTTCGTAATCATCTATCAATTTTGATCATCCTGACAGAGGACATATTCATGTCCAACGGCCACAAGTGTGCTGTATGTGAAATATTCACCTGTTAGGGTCGGGACTTAAAAGACCTTTTCCATTTCTTTCTAGCTAGCTTTTTCTCCCAAGAAATGCTTGATCCTTAGTACTCAGGCTAACGAGTTGTAAATTGCTAGAGAATGAGTTGAATTTGCGACTTGGACTGACGGGGCCATTTTAACTTTGGGTGAAAGTGGTCAGTTGAAATTGTGAGTTACTTTTGTAAAGCCAAACAACATTGTAGTATTTACTTTTATGTAAGGTACGTCACGGCTCATCAGTGAATTAGAATTGCGACTGGTTAAGTTTGAGTGAGTGAAGTCGTATCAGGTCAAGTCAGGTTTATTTCTCTTTCCAATGAAAGAAACAGAAATTAATGAAAACAATAAGTATTTGCATTTCGTGAGACAGGCATGTAGACAACAAAAACTATAAAAGATAATAATAATAATTTATTCACCTAATATAGCGCATTTAAACATTAAAATGATCAAAAGCGCTAGAGGTAGATCAAAGATAGTTTGACAGTTGTAATAGTCGGCTTAATTTCCCTTTAAATTGACTCCTACAAAGGTACTGTTTTTATTTATTCACTCGTTCCAGTAACAACGACTGAGCATTTCCAGTAAAGCGAACAGAAAATTCGCCATAATTTGAGAAGAAAATAATTGAAGTGGGCATCTCTAATATAAAAGAAATGAATCTTAGCAACAGGCTTTAAATAACTTTCAAATATACTTCAGGCAGCTTATGATTCAAATAAATCATAAACAATAATAAACATAAGTCTATAAAAACGAAATATAAAATCATTGAAGTATAGTTAACTGTTTAAAAAGTGGCGGAGCGTGGGATTGGAAATGAGAATTGTTTATCAGTCTCATAAGAAATAGCAATTTGCAGGTTGTGTCGGTCAACTTTGAAAGCCTTCACTGTATTTTTTCACCTACATTTTAAATTGCCGTATCCTTAGGTTTTACTGTGCATTAAAAATATGTGCAAAGACTGTGTAGACCAAAATCTAGAGTACAGGTTTAAGCCAGGGAATCTGTTCACATGCATTATCATTTTTAATGATTTTCCTCCCTGGTAGCCACAACTCTAAGTTACTTCCAGCAACAGGAATCACTGCTCATCTGAATGAATAAAGCAAGATCCAGGAAGCCGATTACCTGTATATTGATACTATTTTAAGTCTCTTTGAAAACGATTGCAGGCGCATTCTTTACAGTTGATCTCTAATGTTGATATCTATTTTGTTGTAGCGACACGATCCTGCAAAGAAATCAAGGACTTAGGTATCTCCAATGGCGACGGGGAGTACTGGATTGACCCTGGAAGGACTAAAAGTCCTTTTAAGGCATATTGTGACATGACAACTGACGGAGGTATGGTTTGAGTTGAAGCTAGGGAAAACCCATTTTTTTCTAAAGTAAGTTCAGGAAATTCTCAATACCTAAAAATATGAACACAATTCAAACCGATAATTTAGTCCTTACTTGTAACAACAGACTTTGTATGACAATTAGGAATTATTGGATGAGGTTGAGGTATCATCCGAGAATTATGCAGATCGAGAAGGCCTTCGGCCTCGGCGGATAACACCCCAAATGAGAGTATCCGGTTAATGACTTCGATAGTGCAGGCTATCGCCAGACAAAAGGGACAGCAACAGAGAAGCCCGAGTACGAGTTACTATACCTCAGTTGTTTTAGTACAGGTAGAGAATTTTACTGGTTTTGCGAAGAAAAACAAAATACTTGATCTACTACCTAAAAACATAGCAAAAACAACAAAACTACATCTCATACTTGAAGAATATCTTCAAGACTAAGAATCCCAGTGGATCCTGAATTTGCCGAGGAAAAGACACGTGAAATCCATCAGTTTATCAATTCTTCTTGTAACTGTCAAGTGTTACCATGGAGAAGCTGTTTGAATGAATAATAAGCCTCGTTTTAGTATCAACTTCAGACTAGCACCCGCCTAGCGAGTCACGAATTTCTTAGTCTCGGGTTCTTGGGTCTTTACAGTGCCGCAAACGATTCCCAAAGTAGACCGAAAATGATCCTCAACCGTAAATGATCTCCATTGTCGACCGCAAGTGATCCAGTGAAAAGTAGAGGACTGGAATACTGTTTTAGGCATGGATGGTGAATGTGCTGGTAATTTACACGTCGCGTAGAACAATGAATAAATAAAACTGTTTCTTTTGGTACAAAATGTATTTTTTTCTCATTTCGTTATTCAAGCATTTGATGTTTCGTTGCTGTGAAGATTTAGGACAGGAAGGACGTTAAGAAGGAAATGTTTCTTTCATTTTAACGCTTAGGAATAGGGAAATATGACCCCGGAATATTACCCCTGTATTTATCACTCTGTAGAGGTTTTTGGTTTATTTCGAAATACGCTTAGTAAGTAAAACTCGTGAAAATGTTGTGTCTAGTGGTAAGGACCCTGTCGGCGCAAACCTGTGTATTCATTTTCCGTGTCTTTGCTGCTGGACACACAGACAGTTACAACATTAGGGAAACAGAAACGAAGGAACGATTAAGTGGAAAATTTTGTACCTATGAGCAAAGAATTATCTTAATGGGGTTCAGTGTACTAGAGCGAGCTTTTATCTGGGGTCGTTTTCAGAGACTTTCGCCGTTACAAAAGTTATCATTTCCTAAAGTTGATACGAGGCAGGGTTTGAGCAATTTCTTCTTAAGAGTATTGCATCTAATTGAACCATAGTATGTGAAGTTTAGTTCAGTGAAGCTTTAATGTTAACCAGCAATTAAGCAAGAGCTATTGTTTTACTGAGCATTTAAGTGTTTCCTTTTCTTGGTTTGCGTCTATTTATGTTATATTTATGGTTTCTTATGTTTTCAGTCTTGGCATTTATTTGTTAAATTTATTCAGTTGAATTTTTAATACTTATGGTGCGATAATAAACGTGACGCGATGACCCAGTAACTTAAGTCCAGGCCATTCTGATTTTCCTCTCGGGATCATTTGCGGTCGACAATGGGGATCACTTGAGGTCGAGGATCATTTGCGGTCTGAGGATCGTTTACGGTCGGAATCAGTTGCGGTACTGTACAGTTTGCCTGAGTTATATTTAACAATGATTAGGCCCACGGTGAGTTTCCGCCGTGTGAATTATTTTGAACTAAACATTACTGCTTCTTTTGGCCCACATGACTGATAAACCAATGATAAACATTTATCGAATTTCAGGGGGATGGCTTCTTGTATCCAACGTTGTTTCGCACGGTTCTTCAACGACTCAGTTGCCAGTTAAGACATCGTACCGCGGAGTAAGCAGCAAAGAGATGTTACTCACAAAGAGTGCCATGAAGGAGCTGAGGAAGCACTTGCATTTCACTCAGATAAGATTTTACTGCAAGAAAGGAGGAGGTCGTACATTTCACATCACCACGGCTGCTAACAGCAAAGGTGAGGCTGCTGTGAAATACTTCAGTGGTGAGACAGATGTGATGCCCGCCTCTTGTGGCTCGTTTGTGATCATGAGCAATGATAACTCGCGGTTAGCAAGAGTCTGCAAGGATTGGGGATACCAAAGAGGTTCTTACAAAGTTGGCAAATGGGGGCACGAGAGAGATCAGAACAGATTATACGACCACCCTGCTTTTGTAATGGGAGCTTACCACTGGCTTCTTGAACCGTCTCGCAGGTGGGAATGCGACGATGCTAGTGTGGGAGTGTCACGTGGCGATTTTTGGAAAATCTTCGTGCGATAGGAACTTATAGATTGAAGTCACCATAACAAAAGCCTTTTTAAATTTTAAGAGCGGATGTCAGTAAATATCGACCAGAGGTCTACAAAACTGAAAAATCGAAAATTCTCAAAAAAATTCACAAAGTAGCACTAGGTAAGCTATTAACATAAATGTAATTTTTACTTCGATCCGATAATTATTTTCCACGTACGGGGGGGTTATTGGTTTCGCGGCTCTCGGACCGTGTTTTCCAGGCCCGAGACCATGTGTCACAAAAAAATCGTTTTAAAATTCAAATCCATTGTAATGTGGACAACAAATAACTTATTCAGAAGAGTACTTAATTGCACACATTCTAAGTTGTGATTTACTCAGTTTGAACGAAAGTGTAATATTTTGGAGATTTTTCATTATTTTCAATATTTTGATCGTTTTCGTTCAATGAAAAAATGGCAAATTTCAAAGCCCAAAATCGTCGACTGGTACCTCGATTTCAGTAACGAGTCTTATACCACGTTAAAGAACGTTATCTCTTCTTTCAAAATCTGTTTTCAAAACTACGGGCAACTTAAAAGAAAATTTTTGAGGCCAAAAAATACTAGTAGTACTTTTCTGAAATTTGAGCTTTCCAGACTCAGCGGGTCGATGCTAAAAACTCAGAAAAATGCGATAAGAAATCAGTTTGAGCAACAGTGATTTAACGTTATCAGCTATCAGAAACCAACACGTGTTTATCGAGCGATCTGATAAAATTTAAAGCCGTTTTCCAACAAGAAAAGCAGAGTTTAGCCATCTTCTGCTACCAAACGCACGAGTGACGTAAGGTTGTCAAAGGGCAAAGCACAATAATAAACTTCAAAAAGCACAAAGTTTCTGCGTCCAGGAATTAGACTTTAGCGGACAGAACAATGCCTACGAGTGTATGTTTCATACCTTAGCATGGGTTTCCTAGATAATGGAAATAAAAACATCAAGGACAGCATCGGCAAGACCATCTTCGGCTGCTCTCAAACGACGGAGATTGCGTTACTTTTCACAGATTGACCGCTTACCACCTGTTTTTTTGGCTCGCATTTCGACGGAACGCTTGCCTCGAGAGGCGCGGGGCACGGATCTGAACTCTTCTTCACGAGACATTGAGCTGAATTTATCGGAAATATGCCACCACCAACAACAACATGAGCTTTTTTCGGGTATTTGTCGTTTTTATGCGAAAAGTTCGGGTAAGCAGATTCTTGCAAAAACCATTTGGCTTAAAAAATGTGTTTAAAAGCCCACCCTGGATTTGAAGCAAAAAGTATTTCCTCGAAATAAGCTAAAAATACCCAATTCACGCGGTGAAAAAATGGATGATTATGGAAGGATTATCGAATTCTTGCCTAACCTGAGGGATTTCTCGTGATGTAGGATTAGGGCTAGGAAAAAAGCTCATAACCTGCTCCTGTCGTTGTGAATTTCCTCAAGATCAAAAATTTCAGTAAGAACCGAAAACAACAGCTTACAGGAGGTGCACACACCTTGAACTAGCCAGGGAAAAGGGGCTTCTGATTGAGCTAAACTGTCTTTGATGCACGGTGCAATTAGGTAGACCTGTTACTATCCCCCGCGCAACCACATGGGGAGTACTTTGAAGCGGTCCTGTCGGGGACTTTCGGGGGTAGGGGGCGGGGCAAATCGAAAATAACTTCTCTTTGTTTTTGTGAAGTACATCATTTCTCGCACGGTTGACAAGGTGACGGCGGACTCCGTACCTTTGGAAAGGCCCTTTTGAAACATGTCCTGGCAACATGCAGAGAATCACGAAATTAACGTCAACACCTTGAGTCAACTCCATGAACAGGGAGAGGCGATAAGTCCCATCTTGTCTAGACGTGAATAGTCTGTCCACAGTCATTTTTCATTTTGTATTTCGGGAGCGTTTGACAGCGTACGAGTGAACTGGAGCGCAGTAACGAGCCCTAACCCCACCCCATTGCCCTTGCGGTCAATAAATCATCGCGTTTTTCATTTTTTTTATGCGCGTTCGAGAACCTCCAAAGGGAATATTGAGGGTCTTTGTACAGTTTCAGTTTATTTTACCGACAAAAAAGAACAAAACAAAGCAAAAGACAAGTATACAGAAACACGCAGAAGCAATGTGGTGAGGAAGCCCAAAAAGAAACCATAAGGCTTAGGTCATCCCCTTTTCGTTCGTTTAGCGTCGAATAGGTTTCCTGGCTTTGGGTGGGTCGGTCGGTGGGGTGAAAAAAAATCACAAGAAATCTGAGAACGGGAGGCCTGAAACACCAGCATCATTGCCGTGGAGACTGAAAACAACAAGACATGGTCGACCAAATCGACACAAATTTAATCTGGGGGGAAATTTGATGGTCAATTTCATAATTTCCAGAGAAGCGACGACATTAATTGGAGAACCGAATCTTGGATGATTTATTTATATAGCAAGCTTGATGATGTAAAGCGTGAACGCGTTGTTTTCTCCACGACGTGTCTTCGGAGTAGACGAAGTAGAGCACAATTACGTCAATGTGTGGTGCTTTTGTCGGTAAAAAATAATGTGACAAAAAGGGGTAAAAAGAGTCATTTGTAAACTTAAGTCGGAGGTACTACAAGCTTGATTTTTAATAGCTGAATTAATGATAAACGGTTGACGTCAATGAACATAACAAGCCGACAGAATTAAAGAATTTTAGAGGTTGTGTCATTTCATAAACAGCAAAAATGCTTTTGCTTACAACCGTTAACCCCACCTTTAAAAAAGGCATCTTAAAAAAATGTTGAGATTTGGGGTGGGGGGGGTGGGGAAGAAGATGTAGAAAAATTTGGGCGTAGCTCCGGAAAAATCCTGACTACGCACCTGCTAAAGCGACTGAACAACAGGAGTCTTGACGAAACGTCCTCAGTTATCACCTGTCCGGGGTCGTACTTTCAAGGAAACGCTGATCAAGAATCACTCATGACGGAATGAAAACTCCTCGTAGCTTCCAGCGAAAAAAGGAGTGACAACAGTGGTAAGCGGTCGTTCTGTGAAATGTAACGCAATCTTTGCCGTTTACGATCTTTCGGCACGTGGATTTGAAACGTTGTTGTTTGGTATGTTCTCCCGTGTGGATACTCGACATTTCCAACATATGGAAACACCATGCTAAGGTACGAACAACAGACATTCACAACATTGTTTTGTACGCTAAAATCTGATTTCATGGACGTAAAACGTTTTGACTTTTAAGACTTTTTATATTAGTGCTTTGCCCTCCCTTTGACAACTTCACGTGACTGGTGCACTTGGCAGGAGTTGACAGCTTAAATCTGCTTTTCTTGATAGCAAACGGCATTAATTTATATCAGATCGCTGTATAAACACGTTTTGGTTTATGAAAGCTGATAACATGAAACCACTATTGCTCAAACTGATTTCTTACTGTATTTTTCCAAGTTTTTAGCATCGGCCCGCTGAGTCTGGAAAGCTCAAATTTCAGAAAAGTACTACTTGTATTTTTTGGCCTCAAAAATTTTCTTTTAAGTTGCCCGTAGTTTTGAAAACAGATTTAGAAAGAAGAGATAACGCTCTTTTACGTGGTATAAGACTCGTTACTGAAATCGAGGTACCAGTCGACGATTTTGGGCTTTGAAATTTGCCATTTTTTCATTGAACGAAAACGATCAAAATATTGAAAATAATGAAAAATCTCCAAAATATTACACTTTCGTTCAAACTGAGTAAATCACCACTTAGAATGTGTGCAATTAAGTACTCTTCTGAATAAGTTATTTGTTGTCCACATTACAATGGATTTGAATTTTAAAACGATTTTTTTGTGACACATGGTCTCGGGCCTGGAAAACCCGGTCCGAGAGCCGCAAAACCAATAACCCCCCCGTACGTGGAAAATAATTATCGGATCGAAGTAAAAATTACATTTATGTTAATAGCTTACCTAGTGCTACTTTGTGAATTTTTTTGAGAATTTTCGATTTTTCAGTTTTGTAGACCT